TCTAAATATAGGAGATTCTAGGAATCAAATACTGCTCAGGTTAGGTCTCATTATCAGCAACCACCATCTGGAGATTATTAATCAAATGGAATATTTCTTATCAATAGGTACGTTTTCTTCTAACTAGGTACATTGGTGTGGAGGGAAAAGTATAAGCAGCCCTACCTGCATACTGCAGATCTGATAATAATCATGCTGCATTGCTGTATGCAGTTGAAAACATCTAAGTACTACTTTAGGGGGGAAAAGAAAGACAAGTATTCCGCAAAAGAAAATTTCATCTAGGCATGGTTACTAATTGTGCAATAAAAGCAATTCTAGCTTTGACCAGGGACTTCATTTGTAGTTCTTGGATTCACAGTCCGTACTACAAAAGGGACCATGTCTACAAAAGGGGAGCAATCTATGCTAACTCTGTTTTTCCTATGTTAATTAAAAACGAATTACCCAGCATTTCTTATTTTAAAATAAAACCATCTTGGTCCTAATCCTTCTCATGAGCATTACAGAGATGTGATACTTCAAAAATGATAAAATTGCTATAGCATAGATTTAAAAATTACAGTATAGTACTCATAGAAGAAAACAAAGTATTATTTCTTTCTTTCTTTAGTGCCATCACTATACATAACACTGGAGGAGGAGGAGGAGGAGGAGGAGGAGGAGGAGGAGGAGGAGGAGGAGGAGGAGGAGGAGGAGGAGGAGGAAGAGGAGGAAGAGGACCACCAGTTCTCTAACTACAGCTTTATAATCTAATTGAGACTCTGTGATTCTATGAAAGGGAGTGGTGGTGAGAGGGATTAAGTCCAGCAGATGCTGCCTCTTCTTTTCTCCATCCAAAGTGACAGAAGTGAGAGTTGAGGTGGATGGAGAATCTTTCCTTTGTTTCTGGGCCTAAGTATGATGGAGCTGTACTGACTTCACTCCTTCAGAGATCAGAGCAGTAGTAGTTGGGACTGAGAGAGGGGATTCCCTCTGCCTCTGGGTGTAACATAATGGAGCTATGCCTACTTCTTCTGTTTCCCCTCCCATCTCAGAACGGTGGCAGTTTGGATGGGTGGATGGGGGGAGGGCATTTTCTTATGAGTCCTGGCGTGATGGAGCTGTTCCTGCCTCTTCTTCTCTCCAACTAAGACTAGAACAGTGCCAATTGGAATGGATGGAGGGCAGGCAGAAAATGTCAATCTTTGGCACCTCTAGTAAAAAGACTTATCAATAACAAGATTGGGGAAAGACTGAATTTCTGGACAGTCTAGGTCAGTGATTCCCAACCATGGTTCTCCGGGCAATGGTGAGCTATGAAATATGGAAAACAAAAAATCATGTCATCCAAATGTCCCTATGTTTGCATTTCAAGTTTTACTCCTCTATGTTTCTACATATCTCCATCAGTGTGGATTTTCAATGCTTCTTCAATTGAAAACCAAAAGAAGAAACGGATTAAATGTTGAGAATGGTATGAAAACTCAACCACTAATTTTTAAGCATGTCAATGAGTTACAATTTCGATCATCTTATTAAAAAGAATGTAAGCTAGCATTCTTTTTAATTATATAATACTGAAAAGTATTTTCAATGTGTTTTTGTTTTGTTGTTGTTCATTCGTTCAGTCGTCTCCGACTCTTCGTGACCTCATGGACCAGCCTACGCCAGAGCTCCCTGTCAGCCGTTACCACCCCCAGCTCCCTCAAGGTCAGTCCAGTCACTTCAAGGATGCCATCCATCCATCTTGCCCTTGGTCGGCCCCTCTTCCTTTTGCCTTCCACTTTCCCCAGCATAATTGTCTTCTCTAGGCTTTGCTGTCTCCTCATGATGTGGCCAAAGTACTTCAACTTTGTCTCTAGTATCCTTCCCTCCAGTGAGCAGTCGGGCTTTATTTCCTGGAGGATGGACTGGTTGGATCTTCTCGCAGTCCAAGGCACTCTCAGAACTTTCCTCGAACACCACAGTTCAAAAGCATGTATCTTCCTTCGCTCAGCCTTCCCTAAGGTCCAGCTCTCACATCCATTGGTGACTACAGGGAATACCATTGCTTTAATTATGTGGATCTTGGTTGCCAGTGTGATGTCTCTACTCTTCACTATTTTATTGAGATTGGACATTGCTCTCCTCCCAAGAAGTAAGCGTCTTCTGATTTCCTGGCTGCAGTCTGCATCTGCAGTAATCTTTGCACCTAGAAATACAAAGTCTGTCACGGCCTCCACGGTTTCTCCCTCTATTTTCCAGTTGTCAATAATTCTTGTTGCCATAATCTTGGTTTTTTGACGTTTAGCTGCAACCCGGCTTTTGCGCTTTCTTCTTTCACCTTGATTAGAAGGCTCCTCAGCTCCTCCTCGCTTTCGGCCATCAGAGTGGTGTCATCTGCATATCTGAGGTGTTAATGTTTCTTCCAGCAATTTTCACCCCAGCTTTGCATTCATCCAGCCCCGCACATCGCATGATGTGTTCTGCATACAAGTTAAAAAGGTTGGGTGAGAGTATGCAGCCTTGCCGTACACCTTTCCCAATCTTGAACCAGTCTGTTGTTCCGTGGTCAGTTCTGACTGTTGCTACTTGGTCCTTGTTTTTAATGTATCATGGCTGCGGGCCAGTTTGCCTCTATAAGAAACAACCTGGAACAGGTTGGGAAACGCTGGTCTAGGTGAATCAGCAATCTGACAGCCTCACCTCTTCACATGCCCTTACTTCAAATATTCATAATATGGGCAAAGCAATCTATAGAGGTGAATCTCTGACAGAAGAACCACTTGTTGCGATTATTATAGAAAAGACAGAAGATGAAGGTGGAGAAGAGAAGGCAGGTGCTTTGTTCCAACTTTATTCTTTTTGTCGGTGTCTGTATAAATTTTGTGTCTTCCTGCTCAATGCAAGTCCATTTCAATGCAAGTAAAATAATATAAGTTGAACTTAAGGATGGTCATAACAGGGGAGGGGTGTTTAGGCAAGCCAAGTGGTTTTGAATCCAGTGGAACTGAAACCCAATCTATTTCTGGCATGCCCTGGGAACTTTTTCATTTTGCCTGAAACTGCTGAAGGGCAGTTGAAAGATCCCCAGATGGAAAGAGAGGTCTGTGGCATCCAATAGCTCCAGGAGCAAAGCCCCTGAGATCCTGCATTGAGTCTGGTGAGTTTCAGGATTTTTCCTCCCATGTTATGAAACACGAGAAACTTTAATTTTCCACTCAGGTTCTACAGCACACAATGGATAAATACATAAACATGCCCTTTTCAAGGGGAAGATTGTCATCTTATTCATTAATACGTTTTGCTCAGAAGAAAGCCAAGGTTTAAGTGCTAGTTAACAAAAGTCTGTCACAGCCCAACCCTTCAAGAAGTCAGAGATAACATCTGTCATTGCAATTTAACTTTTTATCACACACATACATGCTTCCTAAGCAGCCATTCTAACATTTTTCCACACAGAGGAAACACCCAAATGATTTGAAATATACTAATTCATGTCATACATTGCTCATTTTTAAGAACAAGTTATCTGCTTTCCATTTTACTCAATGAAATTGACTGTTTTTTGTTCTTTATCCAAGCACATATGTAATGGCAAAGGAGAGCTTTACAAATAACACGGAGTAACAAAAAAAAAAAGGCTCTCAAATAAACATGTCCAAGAGCAAAACTAGCACAAACTCTAACTGGATGCCAAAATGTTTAAATTACAGCTATCATACCTGGAGATATCATGATAAATCACAGGAAATCATGGGAAATATTAGGAAAAGCAGAAGTGTTCATTACAAACTGTATTACAGACAATATATCTATGTGGAAAAATCACACTATTTAGCTGGTATGGCACCACCTGACACCCAGCAGCAGGCCCGTAGCCAGGATTTTGTTTCGGGGGGGGGGGGGGGGCTGAGTCTGAGTGAAAGAGGGTCTAGCCTAGCAAACCTTTTGTATCGTTACCCCAATACCCCCATGCATATGGGATATATTGAGCATGGTGATCCGATCATGATATGAATAAACATAACAGTTTAAATAATGTACCAGTAAGGCCTTCTCGTGGACCACCACGAGAATTTCGGGGAGGGCTCAAGCCCCCCAAGCCCCACCCCCCCGGCTACATGCCTGCCCAGCAGGAAGTAGCAGCCAGCAATGAAAGGACCAAGCATGCCAATGTCTTAAATCAAGAAACAGCTAGCTTTCTAAGATCTACAGAGATACTCACAGGAACACCACAGCAAGCGTGAGTCCAAAAGTGGCAGGCTAAGACCCAGTACCTCAACCAGTAGCTGAGATTGGATGAGAAACTCCCTCCTGGGGACATGGAAGAGTGGACAACCTGGAAGGCACTGAACAGGCTGTGCTCTGGCACCACAAGATGCAGAGCTAACCATAAGAAATGGGGCTACAAAGTGGAGTCCATGACATGCGAGTGTGGAGAAGAGCAAACCACAGACCACTTACTACAATGCAACCTGAGCCCTGCCACATGTACAATGGAGGACCTTCTCACAGTAACACCAGAGGCACTCCAAGTGGCCAGCTTCTGGTCAAAGGACATTTAGCATAATGCCAAGTTCTTTTTTAAAACTTTGTGTTTTTTAAATTCATTTAACTGTACTCTCAACTTGCTTCTGACATGATAAATAAAAATAAATCTACATGGTAAAATTAAAGTTGACACTACTTTAACTGCTAAGATCAATGCTATCGAATCATTGGAGTCATGGTTTTCCAAGGTCTTTAAACGTCCTCTGCTGGTGCCTCGCACAACTATAACTCCCAGGATTCCTTAGCACTGAGTTATGGCACTTAAAGTGGTGTCAAACTGCATTCATTACAGAGTGCAGATCCACCCATAACTTTGAGTTTGGGAATTCTGAACAGGGGTCTTAACACCAGACTCTCTTGGAGGTCTTACGTTCATAGGGGCATTGTGAATCAACATGATGACATTTAATAGAAGTAACAATAAAGCTTAAGTGTTGAACACCAACCAATTCAGCAATCTCCCCTATTGTTTTGAGGTACAATACCTTAGCTTCTTCAGTGTTTTCTGCTACCATGTATGTGAAGTTGATATTCACCAGATCTGTGCCACTACAGACACAAACTATTTGTCCTTCCAGTTCATTTTCTGCTTTGCCAACAGCCTCAAGAGCAGCCAATATCTTTGGATCCTATTAGACACAACAAACGCCTTATTAGAAAAGCAATGGTAAAAGGAGAAGAAGCTTTCAAAATATTGTCCCTGTTAAAGTTTCTTTTGCATCTTAGACTCAAACATTTATCAACATTTCTGGCATATAACAACAAATACTGAAATTTACAACTGCTTGTTGTAGTAGTAGTAATTTTATTGATTAGCCCTTAGGCCATATCACAATAAGAAACAGAACAACAAGGCCTGACAAGACCTGATCACACCCCAGGTAGTAAGTTAAAATAAGACACTTATAACAATACAGTAAATAAATATGATAAGACATGATAAAACTGATAAACTGATCAAGCTGAGTATATACATCATATTTCATGAAATATTATGTACAACTGCTTGTTGATTAGCATAGTTGGAATATAAATGTGAGACGTTTGGGATTGGTTCCTTTTTGGAAACAGATGGTGAATCCTCCCACCAAAAGCCCTCCTCCACTGTGATTGGCCAGTCTCTCAGCTAATGGGAGGGCTGTTTCTGAAACTGCAGGTGGAGAAGGGAGAGCAGGCATGTTTGGTGCATGGGAGCATGGTGCGCATATGCAGGTGATGGAGACTTGTGCCAGCAAGTCCCTTGAATGCATGGGGGTTCTGTATGGGAAGTTTGGCCCAGTTCTATTGTTGGTGGGGTTCAGAATGCTTTTTGATTGTAGGTGAACTATAAATCCCAGCAACTACAACTCCCAAATATTTTATTATTTATTATTTTATTTCCTGCATTTGTAATCTGCCCTTCTCACCCCCGAGGAGGGACTCAGGGCGGCCTCACAGCAAGCACCATCCAGTGATGTCACAATTATAAACATTCAACAATACAATTAAAATCCTTGTTAACATTGTTAACATAAAACCAGTGTTAACATTTGGGCATATTGAGTAATCGTGCCAAATTTGGTCCATATCTATCATTGTTTGAGTCCACAGTGCTCTCTGGATGTAGATAAACTACAACTCCAAAACTCAAGGTCAGTGCCCACTAAACCCTTCCAGTATTTTTTGTTGGTCATGGGAGTTTTGTGTGCCAAGTTTAGTTCAATTTCATCATTGGTGGAGTTTGGAATGCTCTTTGATTATAGGTGAACTATAAATCTCAGCAACTACAACTCTCAAATGACAAAATTAATCTCCTGCCAACCCCACCAGTATCTAAATTTGGGCATAACAGGTATTTGTGCCAAATTTGGTCCAGTGAATGAAAATACATCCTGCATATCAGATATTTACATTACCATTCACAACAGTAGCAAAATTATGAAGTAGCAGTTATGATGTAGCAATGCAAATAATTTTATGATTGGGTTCACTACAACATGAGGAACTGTATTAAGGGGTCGTGACATTAGAAGGTTGAGAAACACTGCATTAGGCAGTCACCTACAACCACACTAGAATTACATGTTGCATTTGCATTAAATGGTTAGTTCCAAGCAGAAGTCATTAAAATCAAGCCATTGCTTATGTAAATTCCATTGATCCAAAGCATTGCTCTAGTTGAAACTAAAGACTAGATTGAGACCTTAATTAGTAAAAATTGGTCACATCAACCTGTCCTCTGATAAGCATCTGCAGATCAAACCCCATTTTCAAAAGAACAGGTTAAAGTTAAATGAGCATTGCTCTTAATGCAACTCCCACAACTACACAAAGGCCATGTTAAAAAAATTATCAGATATTTTCAATCTGAAAAAAGAAAACTGTTTCCTATTGCCTCAAGTGACTTCATATAGGGCACAATTGGTGCTATAATTAGAAGGAGAGAAGCTTGCACAGACATTATCAGACTTTTTTTTTTGATGTAAAGTGACTTCCAGTTTACCACTTTTAATTTAAGCCATCTCATTTGCATAGCAACATCTTTACTGGGATCATAATGCCAGTGAACTAATGCATATTAATTAAATGCTTGCCTTAATAACAGCCATACATTTTGTTTAAAATGCCAAAGGCCACAGTGTGAAAAAGCTATGCAAAAAAATAATTTAAAAACACTTTGGTCTTGATCCAACTAGTAGGGAACGCTTTCTAATTTCAGTTATAAAAGCAGGAAGGTTAATGAACATGTTTGAAACTTTGCTACTGAAATCTACAGGATGCATTCTATTATGCTTTGGCTATGACCTTTGATTTTAGACATTCTTTTACAAACGCAATCTACTTTGCTTCAGAACTTTAAATTTGTGGGTCTGTGAAATCAATTCCGTGGTCCTCGGGGATACCAGACTTTCAGCATCTTTTGTCATTTGTGGGTGGCAATCTCACGAAGAAAGTTCCATGACTGATCCCCAGCCAACACTTATTGTTTAAAACAATACCATAAAGCATAATTGCAGAAATACCTTTGGTACAGCGCCAACACGAATACTGTTGATGAGGGAGCATTCCAAAACTTGCCCTTCCTGGAATAACAAAACAACAGCATAAACTCTAATGTGCAATATAATGAACACAGAACGTACTGAACCAAGACATTTAGCGAAAACAGGCACAAACAGAATTTGCAATCGGAATAAACTAAAATAAACCCAGTATGCACAAGTCAAACTCAAGTAGGATGGATCCCAACCTCCATCTCACCGCAGTGTTCAAGATTAATAGAAATTGGATATGAAAAACAGTTGGGCAACCACATTTTCTTCAATCCTGTATTAAACAGAGGGAGATATCTTCCAGACATTTGGGGCTTAAATTACCATTGAACATAGAATCATAGAATCAAAGAGTTGGAAGAGACCTCATGGGACATCCAGTCCAACCCCCTGCCAAGAAGCAGGAATATTGCATTCAAATCACCCCTGACAGATGGCCATCCAGCCTCTGTTTAAAAGATTCCAAAGAAGGAGCCTCCACCACACTCTGGGGCAGAGAGTTCCACTGCTGAACGGCTCTCACAGTCAGGAAGTTCTTCCTCATGTTCAGATGGAATCTCCTCTCTTGTAGTTTGAAGCCATTGTTCTGCGTCCTAGTCTCCAAGGAAGCCGAAAACAAGCTTGCTCCCTCCTCCCTGTGGCTTCCTCACATATTTATACATGGCTATCATATCTCCTCTCAGCCTTCTCTTCTTCAGGCTAAACATGCCCAGCTCCTTAAGCCACTCCTCATAGGGCTTGTTCTCCAAACCCTTTATGATTTTAGTCGCCCTCCTCTGGACACTTTCCAGCTTGTCAATATCTCTCTTGAATTGTGGTGCCCAGAACAGTAAATGGAGCTAATAGTAGCTCTAACAGAAATTTAGTTAATTAATTAATTAATTAATTACTACATTTATACCCCACCTTTCTCACCCCACAGGGGACTCAAGGGGGCTTACAAACTCTGGGAAACAACTACGAGGCACCAGGATGCTTATCAGATTCAAAATCCTCTCAACCAATAGCTTGTTATATCAAATATATAGAGGATGAAGCAAAATGAATGGCAGTAATATGTCACGAGTGATGTCATAAGAGAACAAAGGTTGCTATGCATTCGCAGGCCCACTAACACAAAAAGGGTAGGGAGAGTCAGTAGGAGACAGCATGAGGACAACATATACCTATGACCATCATCATGTTAACTGTGTTGAGAAAATTTTATATCTCTACAACCTAAACATGTTTTAGTGAATGCCACCTTACTCAACCTTTGCCCCCCACAACACTCACAAACAACCCTCTCACTTCTTTTATGTAAAAATATGTTTTCTGGAAAGAAAAAAAGTTATTTGATATGCTTCTCCTTCCCAAATAAGAGGGGAAAATATGTAGAATGGAGCTAAAAGTAAAATGCAGGAGTCATATTCTATTTGTGGATTTCCCCCACAAAACTAATTATCTCCATTTATACTCAGGGCCCTCCCAGACAGGCCCTATATCCCAGGATCTGATCCTCGTTTTTTCTGTTTATCCCATATTATCTGGCAGTATGGACTCATATATTCTAGTTTAAAGCAGAAAACTTGGGATCATATCCTGGGATATATGGCTTGTCTGGAAGGGCCTTAAGACACAAGTTAAACAATGATTGTCATATAATGACTCAGTGACTCTAAATCAATAACATTCTATGTCTTATTACAAATAGGATCAGCACCTTCTATCCATGGATTTTGTACCCTTCAATTTATCTAACTATAGCTTGAAAATATAATTTCCCCCTGAATCCAAAAAAGAAAACTTAAGAATTCACAAATTTTAATATCTATAGAGATTCTGGGGGGGGGGGGGGGGGGGTTCTAAAAACCCACTATATGCATGATGCTGACATCCTGAAATCATTATAAATTGTACCTTTCCATCACTTTTCCATGTTAGAAAAAAGCCAAACTCATCCACTTTGAAGAGGCAGCTTGGTTCAAAGACAGACGATTCCTGTTGAAAGAAAAGTCAAATTCAAAAAAGCATTAAGATAATCAAAATGGATAAGGAAGCTTCATTTCAAGCAGAACAAAATACCTGTATGCTTATCAACATTAACAGAAGTGTTCCTTTGACTCAGAACCCTGCTACACAGCCATATAACCCAGAATATCAAGGCAGATAATCCACAATACCTGCTTTGAACTAGGTTATCTCTGCTGTATCGCTCAAGCCCTTGCTTTGCCCTTTAGTTCTGAACATGTCTAATGTGCTCAGCCACTGACTGTTAATTATGATGGTAAGTTTTTCTATGATATTTTTATTTGTATTTTCCTGTTTTATTGTTTCATGTTTTTAATTGTGTTTGAATGGGCTCGGTTCCTATGTAAGCCGCACCGAGTCCCTTCGGAGAAATGGTGGCAGAATACAAAAAATAAAATTATTATTATCTGATTCCACACTGCCATATAATCCAGTTCAATTTGGATTTTATGCAGCTGTGTGGAAGGGGTCTCAGGTGATATTCAACACAGTTAAGCAGTATGTCGACCACAGTAATGCAGTTTGCTCACATGGGAGAAAAACACTTTAGGACCATTTTCCATTATCTTTTGTACGGGCATACAATAGAGTTGCAATGAAAAACGGCTGGTAGGCACTGGGCTGGGTAAGGATATCAGGGAGTATAAATTGGGAAGGAGTTTGTAAGGCACAAAGTGGTCACTGTCTTGATGTCCTACTTCTTGACTAATATCTAGTTCAGTGGTTCCCAACCTTTTTTTGACCAGGGAACACTTGACCAGGGATCATTTGACCAGGGACCACTCTCCAACATTAGTACCAAAAGGGTTACGAATCAGTTTTTGGTCAACTTTAGATTTGGTTTGGTTATTTGGGGTGCTGTTTTAGAAAACTGCATTGGATAAACCACATCAGCTCTAGTTTCTGATATGGAAAATATGCCATCCAGTAGTTGCCATCTGCTCACCCACAGAAAACCATGTTTAATAAGCCTAAGCACTATAAAAGAGTTTCTCTAGACCAGTCACTCTCATTGCAAAGGTGTAGTAACGGAGAGGCTGTGGACCATATTTTAGTTCCTGCAAGCCACTGGTGGTCCATGGACCACAGGTTGGGAACCACTGACTTGTTGGATAGTAAGGGAACAGAATGCTTGACTAGGTAGGCATTGGATCTATCGATTCCAGCATGACTCTTCTCACATTCTTAATCCTTGACCCAGAGGAGGAAAGGAAACCTTGATGATGTAGGGATTATGGAAGGCATCCATGATGCCCGAAAAAAGGTTCAAAGCAGAGGGGAAAATAGGATTATGTTATAAGTTATGAACATAACATTCTGCATGCGTGATGTACAGAGGTCAACTTATTTCAGAAAGTAGCTGAACTCTTCTTCTTTTTTCAGGAACAGTATTTGAAGGAGGAGAGGGAGAGCAATATCCAGTGCTGAAGAATTCTTTTGCAAACAACAATCACTCAGCAAATCATTTACATTCTCTTAGCTTATTTGCTGTTGCCATGAATGTAGGGTATAAGACCTCCAGCTGTCTTGGCAGGCCTTAACGTTTAAAAATACATTTTTTCATTTTAAGAGATTAGAGAATGAAGTAAAATATTATTAAGGGGGTTTATCAGAACTTGGATTTTTATTTTTGGTTATTTATATTGTTCAACAGAGTCTCAAGCTAATCTAATTGATAGATTAGCCAGAGTTTCTGTTTATGGAAAGTTGTTAAAGCACCAGACAATGCCTGTGTATTGAATCCAGTTAAACAAACAAAGGATCTAGCAATCTACTCCTGAAAAGAATGTTAATTGCATGGCTAAATAAAACTAAAACACACATTTGGTTTTATCTTTTTCAAACCCAGGAAATCTTCACCCACATTCCTTAAGGATATTGCTTTTTACAAGTTTATAAATATGGCAGCCAATACCCTTCTAGCTGGAATGAAAGATATTCATAATAACATTCAAACAGACTGGAAGTTTTAGGAGCACTTCTCCCTATATATGCTACCCAGAGAACAGAGGTTTAGTAGCGTACCCCATCCTCATGTACCATCAGTAACATACTGTATGGTGATGTGAAACGGAGCCTTTTCAACTGTGGCACCCCTGATGTGATATACTTTACTCTTGGAGATACAAATGCCACAAATGAGAGCTTCATTTTTATGCCAAGTGAAAAGATAGCTATTTACTAGAGATCTGGGGGCTTACTGATGTCTATGCACAGCACTTTAAACTATTTTAAACTCTGAAACTTGTTTCAACTTGTTCAATTGTATAATGTGCTGCTGGTCTGTGGAAATTATTTTCAACTTCTTTTGAAAAGCTGCTTAAACCAATTTTGCTCATATGCTTCCATGTGGTTTTGTGGCATAAGGTGGGATATAAATACTTGAACAAATGAATGGCCTTGTAATTGTACTGGAGTTAGCCGTTGACCGGTCCGAGTCCCTCCACGGAGGTAGAGAAGATCGGGATACAAATGTTTTAAATACATGAATAAATAAACTCCCTAGAGCCAATATTATATGAATTAACTGATTTGCTTTGAAATGAAAATGTCCAAGCCTAGCACTGCCCCCACCTCCCCCAACCCCTGGTCCTACTGAAAGGGAATTTTCAAGGATGGTAATAAATTGTATTTTACTGTACTTCCCTTTTTAACCTCTCACAAGAAAATCCATACCTCATCCCAACTGCGGTTTAATGCACAAACCATAAGGAAACAAACAATTAACTACATATGAATGGCAGCAAATGGAGAATTGTAGTAAGAGTAGGAATGCAAAGGATTATTTACATATTTGTCTCCCAGAAGAAAAATGTAACTCCTTATAGCTAGGAAATTTTATGAGAAGATTTTTGCGGTCTGCGCTGGAATTCACATATCCCAAAGCGCCTTTGTTTTAAGCCAATCTAGTCTCCTCCTATGACCTGCATTGGGGCAAAAGAAGAGGGGCAATGGGGCAAATCCCTTGCCCCACACACAAATCTCTCTCGGCAATGCTTTCTCCAGTACACGGGGGACATATTGCCAAAGTACAGGGAAGCCTCCCATGTTGTGCGTAAAGCCTCTGGTGATGCTTTTATCCGGGTTGGGGCAGAGCCTCAGCCGGAAGTCATGCAACATCATGTGATGGCTGGCATGGGGCTTCGCACTGAAGCAAGGGTAAAAGCGTGGTGAGGTCACCAGTCTACTGAGAAGAACTGTGATTGCTATCCTACTGAATTCCATCCAGAATCCGATTAGGAACACGTGAAGCAGGCTTGTATAGGATGTCTCAAGTATCAAAAGTGAAAATCCTCTCATGAGATCCCTGGACTCCCACAAGATCTCATATATTTCAGGAATCTCCAATACTATACCAATGTTATGCTTGCTAGATTAGGCATTTATTGTTGTGTTGTAATGTGTTATAATGACCCAATAGGAGGAGGAATAGATATGACTGAACTCCAAAGAGATAGGACCCCACAGCATTTGGTATGTATTTTGAAATCATATGGCTCTACCAAATGTTTAGGGGTTGCTCTGCTGGCATTGGTTGAGTCCTAGCTTTCCACTCATATGGCATTGTTCATTGTTCTCCGGAGTCACACTAGAACATGTTGGGACTTTCAAACATGGGGATAATTCTATGGGAAAATATTCATTTTTCACCCACCAGAGGGGGCAATGAGAGCATGGTCCTTTTATGAAAAATAGGAAACAATTGGAAGCTTTAGTGTAATAATATTTTAGTGTAATAATGAGTAGCATTAACTTGACAGTTCTAAAATATTGCAGGGTGGTCACTTTGGACTTTTTTCTATCTGTAGGTGTATTTAAAAAAACCCACATAGAATAAAATATAACATAACAATTAATGTAAGACTTATGACATTAATAGGTAATATCCAACGTGTGATCATCAGTCCTGGTTAGTGAGTACAATCTATTCATTCAGTGCTCCAAAACTGTGGATGAAATTCAGGTGGCGATTTTAAAAATATTCCCTCAATGTTTAACTTGGGAGGGAATAAATGGCAAGAAGTCTTTAAACCAACTTTTCTTTTTCAGCCAACAGGATACTGAGCTTTATTCATCCTGATTGCGAAGAATGCCATGGCAGGGAATGTTGATATTTACAGACAGATGAAATTCATGTTTAAGATTGACTAAATTACATTAATTCAATTGTGTTTAATCCTCTGGTTTTAAAAAACTGCACATTATATTCTCAAGCTTATTCGGATTTACTGTGTACACGGAGAAGCTGCCAATACAATATCTGTTTGTACATAGAGCTACTGTGAGAATAAGTTCTCAGTTCATATTAGCCAAGGACACGTTTATCTCTGTAGATCTAGGACTCATCTTCACAGGCACTATAACCCAGGACAACCATGAGTTCGCTCCTATAGTCCCCAGAACATTTCTCTAGTTCTGGCAAGTTTGCAGGGTGAGCTAGGGATGCTCCAAAGTCTGCCTGAAACTCTTGAGTAAACCTGTAGCTTCACGGCAATGTGGGCAGGAGGACCTGTTCACTGTCCACATGTGGCTCTGATGTCATCCCGTTTTCTCTTCATCATGCCTGTATCCCTGCCATCTCCACTCCCAGATGTCAGTAGAGCTCCTGGCCATCATAAATGCTCCATACTGGTATCAACTGAAGTACTTGGTCAACCAGGAAGAGGCTGGGAGATGAGGTCCCTCCTTCTTCCTGGTTGCATGGGCACCTCTGCTGATGTCAGTTTAGGAAAAGTGGGAGAAGTGGTGGCTACTTGGATGGTGAGGTGACAGTTCCGTGAAGCCAAGGCAGTCTTGGCCCATTTGGACTATGTAGACACAATCTGCTACTGCAAATTGTTCAGGGGGATGCCTTTGGAACCAATCAGGAGCATTTCTGCCCCAGATGTGCCAACCAGTAAAGAACTGTCCCTAATGTTTTGAACATCAGTGAAGAGGAAGTCCTGCGATACAGATAGCTCCAATGTGCATTGGGGCATCTAGGAGACAAAGTTTGGTGCTTGACACTAATTCATGTCACAGTAAATGCTTTCACAAAGAAGGCTCCAGCTTTCATATTCCCTGTCATTCCTATGAATGTGGGTTATTTTTTATTTATTTGATTTATATTCCAGCTTTTTTTCAGTAGGGCACAAAAAGCATCTTCAAAATAGTGTTTTCTCTAACAGAACATAAGCATTGTTTTAGAGAGGAATGCTCCATTTTCTCTTCTTTACAAATCAACAGCTCTTGAATAAAAGATATCATAAAAGATTCCCTGTAGGCAAATCCTTTCTGAAATATGCTTGACTAACCCCTCTCTCCTCAATTTGAAAGTTGTTTGCCATGTGACACAGAGGGCTTGATGCAAAAAAAATGCAAAATCTAAATTCCAAAAGGAATAGTTCCACATTTATTAATGCCAACTTTAACATTAGCTGAAGGAAAATCTCCATTAGCATTGGTGTAATGGATTATATGCTTGTACAAGCAGCTGTGCAAGAAGTTGCACAAAACAAACTTGATTGGATACTTAAGTTTCCCTGGAGAGGGAGGTCCACAGCCTAAAAGCAGCAGTTGAGAAGGCTAGTCATGCATTAGAGCAGTGGTTCTCAACCTAGATGTTTTGGCCTTCAAGTCCCAGGGTGGTTCCAGACAGCCGGATAAACCGGAAACAATTGCATTTAAAAATGCACAAATTCCCAGCTTCTAGTCCACACACACCCCGGAAAGTGGTGGATAGAAAATAAAAACTGGATAGAAAAAAAACCCTTAAAAAGTCTTTTTAAAAGCAAAACAACTCACCAGGCCTCCATTTTCCCTTCTTTGGTGCTCTCCTGGATCGTACCAATGATGGGCCTAGAAAAGTGGGGGGGGGGGGGGGGGGGAGAGCTATTTTTCTCCTCACCCCCCTTTTCCAGGTATGACCCAGGAGGGGGCCGAAGAAGGGAAAATTGAGGCCTGGCGAGTTATTTTGCTTTTTTAAAAGGCTTTTTAAGGGGGTTTGGGATGGTGTGGGGGCTGTCTTGGGTTTCTTGAGACAGCTGTGTGAATTGGGACCAGAAATTGTGCGACACATTCCCTGGGCCCAAGCCACACAGCTCATGCAACTGGAAAGACATGGTTCTTTTGAAAGACCCATGTCTTTCCAGCTAAGAAATAATCTCGGGACAAAGGACAGTTTTCCTCCTTTGCGCCGAACCCACTCGCTTTTTTCTGGGATATTGTTGTCTGAATGCCCCTTTTGAAGAAGTGGGAACTCTGAGCTGGGTTATATGACAGAGTAGACTATGCGACCTTCCACACAGCTATTTAACCCAGAATATTAAGGAAGATAATCTACAATATCTGCTTTTAACAGGGTTATCTGAGTCCACACTGCCATATAACCCAGTTTAAAGCAGATAGCGTGGGATTTTATACAGCTGTATGGAAGGGGCCAATGGACCCTTCCAGACAGCCATATAACCCAAAATATCAATGCAGATAATACAAAATATCTGCTTTGAACAGGGTTATCTGAGTCCACACTGCCATGTAATACAGTTCAATGTGGATTTTATACAGCTGTGTGGAAGGGTCCTCCAGTTCTAAGCAGATAATATGGATTATCTGATTTGATAATCTGGGTTATATGGCATTGAAGGAGGGGCCCTAGTGCCTACTTGAGTCAGTTGTGACATTCAAAGTGCCAGCACCATGACTTCTTATCTTTCTTGCTCTGTAAGCCCTAGCAACTGTCTAAGAATAAGACTTTCCTAAGAGCTAGCCACAAGCCTTTCCTGAGCTTCAACAGAACCCTTCATGTGCTATATAGGTACTATATAAAAGAGGATATAACTCCTAGCAGGAATGGTGGTAGATACTGTAGCTAATAGACATGTATTCTTCCCTGCCTAACTATTGTATTTATCTTCAGGATCCAAGCTGTCACATTATCTGATCTCGTGGGTTTTACTCAAATTTGAGGTATATTGCCCCCATGCCTCTTCCTACAATCATTTGGTCTAGAAGCAGTTGCTGTCCACCTTCTAGCCCTTGCCTATCTTGCCTCTATGACATTATAAAGGCCTACTCTGTGAAATCACAAGGACCCACCCTGTGCTGTAGATCCCAACCCTCAAATTTCAAAGAATAGGATGTTGCTGACAGAGCTATCTGTCTTGACAGAAAGGCAGTGTCTTATGTTTCCATCCAAGAACCTCTAGTGATAGGAAGCAGACATGTGCTATTTTACTTTAGGTTTCCTTTTACTGTTTGTTTGTTTATTTATGAATGGTATTAAAATAGGTTCCTTACTTCTTCAAACCTGTCGAAAACAGCTCCATCTTGTAGAAAGGACGGAACTGGCTTCTGCCAGTTAAATTCATATGGTTTTGCCATTGTTTTGAACAACTACCCTGAAAGAAAAACAATAAGTGGAATTAGTGGGAGGTGAAGCAATGAAGACCACTGAGACAATTTTGTTACCAAATAAGTAATTGAAGTATATTCTTCATTACATCTTTTCTTGCCATCATTTATTAACCGTTATAGCTACTGAGAGAGTAAAAACACTATATTTTGATGCACATTTCTTCATCAAATGTGTCGGTCATAATGTCTGTGATGGTGGAGGCTACAAATCTAAATGAAACCATCTCTCCTAGAAGAAAAATAATTTTAAAAAACAGTCTGCATTTTCATAAATCAGCAAATGAATAATCAGAGAAAATACATCTTTGCCCAGGGATTTCTTATAAACATGTATATAAACAGCAGAGCTTGGGAAAGTACATCGGACCTTTTCCATGCAAATTCGGTGCCTTGTTACAGATAAGCTCCCTGTCCTTTCTTTCAAGTCAAACATGCAACAGAGTGTCAAATTGTTCTCTGCCCAAACAATCTTGCTCAGGTAAAGTAGCTTAGTGCATTAAAAAAAAAAAAAGGTAGTGGGAGAAGCTAAAATTGAGCTGTGGCAGAAAAGAAAATGACAAAAAGCCTATCATTATTGGTGGGATATATATATATATATATATAGAGAGAGAGAGAGAGAGAGAGAGAGAAAGAGAAAGAGAGAGAGAGAGTTGTTCTATTACCTGGGTGGAGATCACTAGGGGATGCTAGAGAGAGAAGGATAGTCCGGGGCGGGGGAGTTGAAGGAGGAAAAACATAGTTATTTCCTCTCCCTACTTGAAGCGCAGGTGTCGGTAGTGGCTGGGAGGGCTTTCACACAATTGAAGCTCGTGAGCCAGCTGCAACCGTACCTCATGAAGTGGGATTTGGCCGTGGTGGTCCATGCCTTAGTTACCTCTAGATTGGACTATTGCAATGCGCTCTACGCGGGGCTGCCCTTGCAGACGGCCCAGAAATTCCAATTGGTCCAACGAGCAGCAGCCAGACTACTAACTGGTGCAAATTACAAGGAGCGGTCCATCCCCCTGTTTAAGGAGCTCCATTGGCTGCCGTTTATTTTCCGATCCCAATTCAAGGTGCAGTTTCTTACCTACAAAGCCCTGAATGGTTTGGGACCTGCCTACTTGCATAACCGCATTTCTGTCTACGAACCTACACAATCTCTTCGATTTTCTGGAGAGGCCCTTCTCTCGCTCCCACCCCATTGCAAGTGTGACTTGTGGGGATCAGAGGCCTTCTCTGTGGTGGCCTCTTGGCTCTGGAATTCGCTCCCAGAAATATTAGGCAAGCCCCCAACCTGGCAGTATTTAGGAAGAGCCTGAAAACTTGGCTGTTCCAGTGTGACTTCAATGATTGAATGTACAATAATCCGTGACCAAACCCTGCATAAAATGCCTTCGGAAGCGCTTTATTTTACCTGTTAGTGCTATTAAATCCTACCTTATCCCCGGATCCCCTGTCCTTGTTACATTACATTGCTCTCTTACCTAGTGTTTAAATTTTAATCTTTCACAATTGGCCCTGCCCACTGTGGTCTATTTTCTGTGTTCTAATGTTCTGATTTTATATTATTTGATCTGTTTGTTTATATTGGGTTTTGTATTTTATTTTTTATGTTCTTTATTTTCTGCTGTGTTCTTGTGTTATATTGTTTTACTGTATTGCTGGGCTTGGCCTCATGTAAGCCGCCCCGAGTCCCCTTGGGGAGATGATGGCGGGGTATAAATATAGTTATTTTAAATTGTTATTATCATTATTAACCATATCATAAATGAGAGTTGTTTCCATGATGGGGACATGGGTGGAGGGAATAACAGGAAAACAGAGAAACCGTTTTCCTCCTTCAACCCACCATTTTTTCCCTGTAAATGGACTATCCTTCTCTCTCCAGCATCCCTTAGTAGCCTCCACCCAGATAATAAAACAGTACTACACAGGCCCGTAGCCAGGATTTCGATTCGGAGGGGAAGGGGTGAGTTTTTTTCAGGGGGGGTTTCAGAGAGGGGGCTGAGTTTCGGGGGGGGGGCTGAGTCTGAGTGAAAGAGGGTCTAGCTTAGCAAACTTTTTGTATCATTACCCCAATACCCCCATGCATATGGGATATATTGAGTATGGTGATCAGATCATGATATGAATAAACATAACAGTTTAAATAATGTACCAGTAAGGCCTTCTCGCAGACCACCATGAGAATTTCGGGGGGGGGGGCTGAAGCCCCTCAAGCCCTCCCCCCCCCCCGACTACATGCCTGGTACTACACACACACACACACACCTTTTTTTAAACAATGTACATCTAGGGCTCTTCTAAACAGCCATATAACCCAGAATATCAAGGCAAAAAATCCCACAATATCTGATTTAAACTGGGTAATCTGAGTCCACATTGCCATATATTCCAGTTCAAAGCAGATAATGTGGGATTTTATTCAGCTGTGTGGAAGGGTATCTAGACTTCTCCCTCTGGAACAGAAAAAAAAGATCCTTCTCTATGCAGAAATAGGAGGAGGAAAGTTGCTTTATTGGGGGCAAACTCCCAGAATATCCAAGTGAGCCTGGGCAACAGCCATGACCTTGAAAAGCCACTTTTCCAAACTCTGATGGAAGATTTAGTGGAGATAACCCACTGGGAGAAGGAGTTTTGGAGAGGTAACTTTCAACAGCTCTCCCTTCCTCCTAAATAGCCACTTCCAATACAGTTCCAGCCTCCCAGAAAGGGTCAAGGGGAAAGTGACAAACAGAACAGGAAGCCCCAAATAGATCCATTAGTACTTAGTAAACATCTACTAAGGAGTACTTGAAATTCATTAGGTGAGATTATATGAATGAATTGTTCATTTTAAGCAGTTCAAATGTCAGCCACACTCATCAAGCTCTCTGGCAGAAAATGTTCCTACTTGAGCTGAATGTTTTTTTAAAAAAACTAACACAACTTGAAAGATTCAAAATAACCATAAAAAGATTGTTTTGGTTATTTTATAAGACATCTAAGTTAAAGCACATGGCCAGGAGCCAGAAAATATGGATAGCACAAGAAACCAGAGAGGATATACATAATTTAATAACTGGTGACCTCACCAGACAGACACTGTTAACAAACCAAGAAAACAAAATCAGCCAAAGGAAACACGTTTCAAGGAAGTTCTGAAACCTTAATGAGAAATGATCCTACAAAACAGATTTTTCAATTGGATGAATTACAAACAGATTGAGAATTCACACTTGATTATGTTGTGCTTAAAACTGGCAGATAATCTTAGCAAGGAAAATACTGAGGCAAAGGCTCTATTAGATCCCAACAAACAAAAACCAAATTTCTGATTTAAGATAAGTTTGGAAGAAAAATTGAGGATAGCATTTTAAATTGAGGGCTTTGAAAGGATTCACGGTCTGTGTTGTGGGAGGGTGTATGTGAGGAGGCAATTAATAAAGATACATCATGTCAGATCAAGCATAAATGTATGACCTTCACAAAATGAAAGGATCCAATTTAAAACTGTGACTGTCCACTAATGAAATTATTTCAGACCTTTAAAGAAGACACAAAGGAAATTATTGACATTTGAGTATACTCTTTCTCGCTTTTAATTTTTAATGCCAAGCAATTAGTTTTAAGACCAATACATGCAAAGACTTGAACAATTTAAGATATAGAACCTGCCTTTCATGACCCACAACTACCTCCTCCTCAAAATTTCTCCCTATCGAGGGATGTTCTAGATCAGGTGTCCTCAAACTAAGGCCCAGGGGCTGGATACGGTCCTCCAAGGTCATTTGCCCGGCCCTTACTCACGGTCAACCTAAGCCTGAAATGATTTGAAAGCACACAACAACAACAACAATCCTATCTCATCAGCTAAAAGCAGACCCACACTTCCCATTGAAATACTAATAAGTTTATATGTGTTAAAATTGTTCTTTATTTAAATTATTGAATTGCTTTTAAGTGGTTTTTTTGCACTACAAATAACATATGTGCAGTGTGCATAGGAATTCATTCATTATAATCCGGCCCTCCAAGAGTTTGAGGGATTGTGACCTGACCATCTGTTTAAAAAGTTTGAGGACCCTGATCTAGAAAGATCCCCATTTTCAATTCTTATTTTTTTTAAAACAAACCAACATACACATCATATTTCTGCAATATCTTCTAAAGCCCCTTCTACACTTCCATATAAACCAGATTATCAGACCATATAATCTACATTATTTGCTTAGAACTAGATTATATGCATATATAGTGACATAATCCAGGGCACTTCCAGACATTGCTAAACCCGGCATAGAAATGGATTACAATAACCCGCTTCGACATGGATTCTAATCCCCATCCCCAACTCAAACCCAGGGCTTTCCCTGAGGGGAGGGGAAGCTACATGTCATCCTGAGCCAAATCAGGATGGCATGCAGCCACCCCGAAGCCCTCAATTTTGTCCCTAACCTTACCCAAAAGGGGTTGTAAGCAAAGAGCCTGTCTGTAGCATCCTCCTGGCTGGAGGAAATGGTGACTCAGAAAATGGGATCCCTGATCCCCTCCCCCTGTCCCCTGAGTCACCCTTTTCTCCAGCCAGGAGGATGGTATAGACAGGCTTCATAGCTACAAGCCCCTTTGAGGTAGGATTTAGGGGTGAAATCAGGACCTGAGAAGGAGGGGGTATGTGCATTCTTGCACCTTTGGGCTCCATTGTCTACATTGACATATAACAGCCATGTTATCTGCTTTGAATTGGATAATATGGCAGCGTAGATTCATAAAATCCAGTTCAAAGCAGATCTGCTTTGATAATCTGGATTATATAGTAGTGTAGATCCAGCCTTTGACTAGTAGCATAGTATATCTGGCTCAAACCTGTAGGAACACTTAAAGCCCATTCTTCATGATCTACATTTTCGAAGTCCATAATTACAAAGCCAAGATTTGGGGTATCTATGGATCCTTCCCTTGAAAGAATGTCCTTTTCATTCAATTTCATTTCTGTAGAAAGTGTCACTGCAATTCACAAAGG